GAAGGCTGGGCAATCTACTTCTCTAGTGATACAGTCTCGGAAACCCAAGGAGGGGTCGCTATGAGTCAGGTCCGACTCCACGGCACATTACAACAACAACATTCTTACATAGATGTATCAAAGAGCTACCTCTAAAAGCTCTAGAGGGAAGCAAGATTTATTCACCATCTTATCCATCTTTTATTATTTGCCTGTTTCGGAGACATCTCAGAATTTCCCCTTGACCTCCAAGATCCTTAAAGGAAAAAAAAAAAAAAAAAAAAGCCTAGAAAATTTATTATTCATACTTTTTCCCCTCAAGAAAATAACGTAAACTCCATGTTAACAGTACTTATAGTAAATTACTAATAAGGAAAAGAAAACATTATTTTTCTTCTAAACTGAGGTTTACTACCACAGTTAATATAAAGAATAACAAAACACAGGTTTTTATATTTGAATAAGACATTAGGCAAATATCAGGAAATTTTAATTACTGTAGATTCATCCATTTCTTCATTCCTCAACAATCTAATAGCACACAAGATGCAGAAACATTGAAATGAATGAACCATTACATTTCTAAAACAGAATAAATTTTATGTTTACTATTTTTATTTTTATAATCTGGTGCTTCTTACAATATACAAACACTATTCAATAGGAAAAAACAAGGACTTCAATATCATAAAACCAAAGATTAAAGTATCAATTTTGCTACTCATGAGGTCTATGATCTTGAGTAACCCACTTAATCTCTCTTCATTTAATCTTTCTTTGTAAAATGGGAATAATATTCTCTACATCAAGGGGATTTAAACAGGCTCTCTTAAGCAAAAGATCATAGTGATTTAGAATACTGACCCTGGGGCCACGGTTCAGTCACTTTACGAGGCGTGTGACTATGGAGTAAGTATATAATCAATCTATGCATAGGTTTCCTCATAGATAAACTGGAGAAAATAACAATACCTACTTCATGGTGATGTTGCATGGAGTAAACGAGGTATTATTTGTAAAGTGCTTAAAAAATGTTATTTATTATTTTACAATCAATAATAAATTTACTTTTTATTTATTACCAGAAGGAGCTCCAGTGGCGTCGTGGATAAAGCATTCAGCTGCTAACTAAAAGATTGGCAGTTTGAATCCACCAGTTGCTTTGCAGAAGAAAGATGAGATCACCTGCTTCCGTAAAGATTTATAGCCTTGGAAGCCCTATGGGCCATTTCTACTTTGTCCTATAGGGTCACTATGGGTCCAAATCAACTCAGTGGTAGTGGGCTTGGTTTGGTATTTTTGGTTATAAATATTATTACATAAGTAAAAGTATCTCAGATGTCCTAAAGCACTATTATTTTCACTTTTCATAATTATTATTTCTACTTTCTGTATCTATTACCTGGAATTTCATGGTAATCCAAGCTGATTTTCTTTAAATAAGATACTGCAGTTAAGTCAAATGTTCTCACTGTAGCCTCTGTTCCTAACTGAGTGACACTGAATACTAAAATTCTATCTTCTTCTTTCTGTTGTTTGGTAAGTTCCAAAACCACCTAAAAGAATCAACACAGCATGAAAAGTTGGCAAGTATTCTGAATCAAACTTAAAATAACAAAGATAAAATCTTTCTTCATAAATATTATGAGAATAGCAGAAGCTCTAGTAGCATAGTGCCTAAGGCACTTGATTGCTAACCAGAAGGCTGGTGGTTCAAACCCACCAGCCACTCCTCGGAAGGAAGATGGGGCAATCTACTTCCATAGTGATACTGCCTTGGCAATCCAAGGAGGGGTCACTATGAGTTAGGTCCGACTCGATAGCACATAACAACAACAACAACAACTACCATAAAGCTATTTAATATGATTAGAAATTATCATTTTCAATTCTACTATTGAGAATATACATTCATCTATATAAAAATCATGGTAAAATTTAACATCCGTTATTGACATAAGTTTAATTTAGTAAAAATAGGAATGTACGGATTCTTCCTTAGTATTATTTCTTTAAAACTTGTATCTCAAAACAAAAATCATGTCCGGTGATAAAAGAACCATTCTCGTTAAGGGAAAGCGACAAGGATGTTCATTATCATTACTACTATTTAAATTTATTGTGGAGATGATAGCCAAAACATTTTGACAATGGAATATAAAACAAATATGTAGCCATTTTTCAATTAAATTAAAAAGTTCTTTCATACTCCCATGAAGAAGTAAGGGTCTTTGTTACTACACTTGAAACTGGAACACATGTGTGACTGCTTTAATCAACACAGTGCAGAGGAAGTGATGCTATAATAACTTCTCATGCCAAAAAACAAGCCATGAAACTTCCACATGGAAAAGGAATAAAAATAAGACGACAGTGCAGTAAGGTATTCAGCACAGAATTAATATACAAAAATAAGTTTCAGACAAATCAATGAGTTAAATGTAAGCAATGAAATCATAAAGTAATATGTAAAATAATGGGTAAATATTTTTATAATATGGAGAATTTTTAAATATACCACTAAAACTAGAACATACAAAAAAGTGTGATAAATTTCACTATAGAAACATTTCAAACTTTAGAATGGCAAAAAGAAGTCAAACTGGGAATAATTTTTCATAAACATAAATGGATTAATACAGTTATGCATCACTTAAAAGCCACAATACGCTCTGTGAAATAGGGCATTATGTGGCTTGGATACTGTGAAACATGCTTAAATCCTGAGCAATGGCATTCACTGATTTTCCACTTTTGTGCTGTTTAATAACCTTTTGTTTCACTTCTATATTGATACTTCTTCTCCTTTGCCTCATGCTGCTGCTATCACTAGCACTGTTCCTGCTCCATTTGGAAGCCATGATGCACTTCACAGTAATATTTTCAAAGAAAATTAAATAGAGAGATAACACTACAACACTCAAGAGACACATGACACACAAGATTGAATGCTGCTGCATATGAGTTAAAGCATACAATGTTATACAGTAAACTTGTTATTTGTAAGGAAGGAAAGCTCACATTAAAATAACTATAGAAAGTACAGTACAGTATATATATAAGTCAATACTATAGGTGTTATTATGTATAGACTGTATATATACTGTATAACCACTTTGTATATAAGAGACATGAAATACATGTGTTGTGTGCAGGAAGCTATTGTGTTCGCTATGTCCAGTTACATCCACTATGTCCAATTCTCTGATCAGGATTTCTGAACTCTATTATAATCTTACAGGATGACAGACATGTACACAGTGGAACACTGTCTGAACGGACATTATGTGGCACATGGCCGTAAATTCAAAACACAAAGAATTTTCACAGATAAAGAAGAAAATGTACCAGAAATAATTTCCAGAGAAATGAACTAAGGATATGAACAGTCAGTTCTTCAGAGAAGAAATAAACACATGAAATGATTTTGAACCTCAAAAGATATTCAAATTAATCAAATAGATTCAAATTAAAATGTGATTATATTTCTCTACTAGCATGTATCTTACACCTATCAGTTTTCACAAAATAATATTTCATTTTCTTGAACATTTTTTGAGTATGTGTTTGTATTTTGGGCAGTAGGGAAAACAGAGCACCACATTTTTAATATACTTAGTGTCTGGGTTTAGCATGAGACAGTTTCAAGAATAGTAGCAATAGGAACCTATGTATTTATGGACAAAACAAATATATATACCTCTTTAATTTCAAACTTGAGTAGAAGATTAATGAGTTCCTCATTTGGGGTCTCTGAACCTTTTTTTACTTCTGATCTTTTTATGCTTTTACCAGTCTGTGAATCTCCATCTTCAGCATCAAAATACTCATCATCAGACTCTAAAGAAAAAAGACATTCATTTGATGTGAGAACTATGTCCATTGAAAACTGCATACAACACTCAAATCCCCCAACAGTAAAATTAATTCATTAGATACAATCTTCCTATTCATAATCAGAATGCTTTGAATGGCTTTAAGTCCACAAAGCTATGTGATAATCATATTTAAAATCAAACAACTGTTTTTTCTTCTATTATCCTGTTTTTCTCTTTAGTTTACTCATTCACTATTCACTATTGAGTATGTATTCAATATTTTTGGGAACCACATATCATGCATCAGGCAACACCAGCCACTAAGAACACCAGAGTGACCAGGAAAGACATGATTCTCTTCTTCATGATGCTTACATTAGTGATCAAATTATAAAAGATCAGTCAGGCCAGAGCTAGACAAAGTGATAAGGCTAGGACTGGGGAAAGAAAAGTAGTTTATTTAGAATCTCAAACACTGTCAAGAACAAGATATCCCTTCATTTCACTGATGAAGAAATACAAGTTAAAAAAGTTAATCAATTCAAGATCAAACTGTTGGTTAGGAAGCATAACTACAACCGAAAGCATTAAATTATTACATCACTTTCAGAATTTCTCCTGAAAATCTTATCTCCATAACCCAATTTATAGGCTTGGTTTAGTGTAGAAAGAACATTTTACTTTTCTTTACCTGATTCCACTCCATCTAGTAATAGTGGAGTACCAAGTAGACATTTGGTCCCATCTGAAATAACAGGAATGGAGGCTACCTAGGAAAGAATATAAACCATTTTCTTAATATAGTGAGATTTAGAAGAATTAAATGTACATAAATGAGAGAAAGACTAAAGAGCAACAAAGGATATAAAGAAATGGAAAGGCACCTTCACACACCCACACCATACACAACTCTTCCAATAAAGTATGTTACGTAACTCATGAATTAGTAATATGGTTAGCTGGGATTTATAAGTTATTAAATCTACCACCCGCACCTACAAGGACAAAATCACATACAAATCTAGTATGTAATTCTATTTCTGATTGAATGTCATTTAGTTCCTATCTTTTACGACATGAAAGTAAATCTTTATTACAGACCCCTGGAAAATGGTATCACCATCAATTGGCTCTCTCAAATTTCATATCAAAAGTAAGTGGACATACAACGTTCATTTTATACTGTAAAGATCATTCCAATCACAATGGACTAGAACATCTAACATATAAGGAAATTTCATACTGATTATTATATTTATAATAAAAATTTCTAGGTCTATTTAAAACATTCTTCACAAAACTGAAAGGCATTTTCCTTTCATTAATGTATTTTGTTCTTTTCATTTATAAAGCTTGACTTAAACAGATTTTCTAGGTTACCATCTATTCATTCAAAGCCATTTGAAGTTTTGTATAGAATCAACAAAAGAATACTAAACTTTAAAAATACATCAAAGAAATTGGTCTTAAAAATAATAAAAATCAAGATAGTGCACACAAAGATGAAAAATAACTTATACATACAAATATAAAGGGATTTAGCATTTTTATCATATCTACTTACCTGTCTGTCTGGAGAATGTGTAGGTGATTTCTGTGGCAAGGATATACTGTTAATCAAACACAGCACATCTTTCATCTTCTGGTCAGAAATTCTCACATGCATCAAAGGAAGCCCTCCTGATACTTTAAATCTAAAAATAAAATTTAATGGTAAGGTTATAAGGGTTAGATTCTCTACATTATGGAGGGGAGAAGGGATCAGTAAAGAGACTGCATTGTACAGTCAAAGGTACCACTCTGAATATGTTTTAATCTAATTACATTAGTGCCTCATTTAGTGAACACTTTTTTTTTTCCCCTCTGTGACTGGCTTCTTTAATTAATTAATTAATTTTTACTTTTGCAGTGTTCCCTCTTCTCCTTGCCCACCCCAGTAATCAACAAAGAAAGTTTCCTTCCACATTTAAACCTTTCCTTGACTTTTTTCAATAATGAACTAATACAATATTTGTCCTTCTGTGACTGACTTATTTCATTTAGTGAACACTGTCAGGAAATGCGAGGTTTTATTTAGACCAAGTTTCCAGATAATTTGAACATTCTTTTTAAGAACTCAACCTCTTTTAAGTAAACTAATTCTTATAAAAATATTTTAAAATATAATTCCATACTTTTTCAAACCAAAAACACTGTGTGTACTTGAACCATTTCCAGAGCTCTGGTGGCGTAGTACTTAAGGCATCTGACTGCTAACCAGAAGGTTGGCAGTTCAAACCCACTAGCCACCTTCAGAAGGAAGGTTGAGCAATCTACTTCCGTAGTGATACCGCCTCAGAAACCCAAGGAGAGGTCGTTATGAGTTGGGTACGACTCGATGGCAGTGAATTTGGTTTGGTTTCGTTTGGTATCAGAAGTTCCTCATGATAAATTTTAAAGAGTATCCACTCCATTATTCTCTTTTAACTTTTTTGTACACATATCATGTGTACATTTGTTTATTTTCTGACTCCTCTTGATTAAAAGATAATTCTCATGAGGACATGTCTGTTTTACCCACTCATCAATGGCTGTTTTGCTTTTATTAGTCGCTTACTTTGAGACAGCAGCTTCTAGTCTCCTGTCCTATACAATACAACTGCCTAAGGTTTGTTTGCTTTCATAGCTTTGTCACAGCCCTTTGCTGCTCATAAAGTTCCTTTTGATTGCTGTTTAACTTTGGCTTCCTGACTAGGCTGTGAACAACCACAACTGACAGATGTCTAATCTCTAAATGAAGAGTGATTCTCTAATGCACAAACTACTAATGTACAAAAGATTAAACTTTCTGCAAAAGTTCTCTACAAAGGGAAAAGCACAAAAAAAATAAGATATCTCTTTATGATTTATGAAATATTATATAAACTTTAAAGCATCATAAATAGAGGAACTAGATTAACCTTTTCACCTAGAATAACTGAAAAGCTGCACATAAGTTACAATACAATGGTTTCAAAGATACTGGATATCAAACAATAAAGGACAGTTAAGAGATGAGAAACAAATGAAGGAAGCCCTAAAATTATCACTTATGCGTATCAAAGTTTGTGGGGCTCAATAAATGTATAGCACTAAATGGCTATATTAAAAAGTTCTCCAGTGGAACGGAATTGAGAACCCAGAAATAGATCCATTGACCTATGGGCTGCTGATTTCTGACAAAGGGTTGAAATCCATTATGTGAGGAAGAGATGGTCTCTTTAACAGATGGTGCTGGCAAAACTGGATGTCCATTTGCAGAAAAATGAAACAAGATCTGTACCTCATACCATACACAAAAGCTAACTTCAGATAGATCAAAGACTTAAATGTGAAACCTAAAACTATAAAGTTCCTCAAGGAAAAACTAGGGGCAAATTTAGGGGCCCTAATTTATGGCATAAATAGACTGTCAAGCATAACCCAAAATGCACAAACAGCAGAAAAGAAACTAAATGAATGGGACCTTCTAAAAATTAAATTTTTATGTGCTTCCAAAGACTTCTCCAAAAGAGTAAAAAGAGAACCTACAGAGTGGGAAAAAATGTTTGGCAACGACGTATCTGACAAGGGCTCATTTCAAAAATTTATAGGAAACTCCAACACCTTAACAACAAAAAGATTAACAATCCAATTCAAAAATGGGGAGAAGACATGAATAGACACTTCACCAAAAAGCATAGTCAGGTGGCCAGCAAATACATAAAGAAATGTTCACAGTCATTAGACATCAGAGAGATGCGAATCAAAACAACAGTGAAATACCATCTCACCCCAGCACTAATGGCAAAGTTCAACCAGACAGAAATAATAAATGCTAGTGAGGAATGTGGAGAGATTGGGACTCTCATATACTGCTGGTAGGACTATAAAATTACACAACCACTGTAGAAAGAAGTATGGCGATTCCTTAAAAAGGTAGAATGAGAAATACTATTTGATCCAGCAATCCTATTACTAGGTATATATCCTGAAGAAGCGAGAGCCAGGACAAGAACAGATATATGCCCACTCGTGTTCACTGCAGCACTATTTACAATAGCAAAAAGATGGAAACAATCTAACAGAAGAATGGTTAAGCAAACTATGGTACATACACACAATGGAACACTACGCAACACTAAAGAATAATGTAGAATCTACAAAACACTGCTAACATGGATAAACTTGGAGGAAGTTGTTGTCGTTGTTGTTGTTGTTATGTGCCATCAAGTCATAGGAAGAGTTGAAGGAAGGAATACAAAGGAGCACAGCAAACTTTTAGAGATGATGAATGTGTTCATTATGTTGATGTGGTAAGCTTTTTTTTTAAAAAAAGCAGCATAAATATTTCATAATTATCTACTTAAATTTAAAATCCAATCTCTATTTTTTATTCTCGTCCATGTTTTTTAAGACTTTTATATAGCTTCATGATCAAATTTTGAAGACCTTCTTTTATTACTACAAAAGCTTAGATTATCACATTCAGTAACACTGATCACCAACTTTTACAGAAAGTTAAAAATCTAAACAAGACTGAGATAAGACTGGTAATACGTAATTCAGATATGCATTTTCCTAAAAATGTATTTCTTCTAAAATAGACTCATTATTTCCCTGTGCTTTCTTAAAAGCAGATAATTTTACTCTGTTAATTTTATAATATGTACAAAGAAAACTCATACATTACCGAGCCATTCTAATGTCCTTTTCCACCATGGCCTTGGCCAACTCAATGTGAATATCCATGGGCTGCAATACATGCAGAGATGATGGATGCTGAAATCGACACTTTTTCCAGTTTTCCTCTTTAAAAAAATAATTTAAAATATTAACTGATTTTTTTTTTTTTAACTATCAGGTATTCTGTCAAAAACTACTAAGTTCTTAGAAAATAAAACAGTTAACAAGCAGATTCGGTGAATACCCATTTTTATTTTATTTTCAGCAACAAGTTAAATGAACTATATTTCTTTTATATTGACTGACAGGAGTCAAAGACTACGATAATAATTCTAAATATTTATTTGGAGAATGTTCATATGACAATACCTCACATTTCAAAGTAAGAACCCACCCCCCCAAAAAAAACAACTCAGGAAATTAATTACCTTGATTCCAGAATTAGCAATCAAGGTCAGTGATTACAGTGAAAAGAGGGTAAAAAAAATTAAGTTGGAAGGGGGGAAAAAAAAGATGGCAGAGCAAAACAGGAGTTTATGGGGTTTTTTAGTGCAATTACACTACCTTAGCACATAATTCCAAAGCACAACTGAGAAGATGGCGGACTAGGCAGAAGGATTGCACAGACCCTCTTCAACAAAGAAAAGGGAAACCAAATAACACAGACACAGAAGATAATCTTGGACCCCTGAGCCTTGAAGGAAAGGATGCAGAATTGGACTAAACCCCAACTAGCAGA